GTGAAAGCATCACAGCTTTGCCGATCTGAGAAGATTAAAAGATAAAAAATTCCTGTATCCACATCGTGATCCGGAACATCACCAAAATTTAAAGCTGTGTTCCTTGGCCCAGTACACACATGTGGTAAAAATGTCATGACAATCCGTCCACAAGTTTTTGAGTAATGATGTCCACAGACAGAATGACAGAACGACAGACAGACAGACATACGGGACCGAAAACATTACCTCGCCCTTGGCGGAGGTAATAACAACTAAAGGTGACATAGATACGTCCTTATGGTACAGTATTTAAATATATACCTGAGAAACACATAATACTGCCCCTTTAAATAACATGTAATGTGAGCTGATACTGTATATCTTAACTTTAACTCTTTAGTTAATTTCAGGTGATGACTTGAACAGCAGACAGTTTACATGCATCAATTATTGTATTTTCGTAACTTTATTGAGATTAAAAATAGTTATTTTATTTTATTTAGGCGTTCAAACCTTGTGGGACTGTTTTGTAATAAAACAATATTTCACTCAGATTTGTCAGAAGCCAAAAATGATGGGATGCACGGCTCCAACATGKTTTTTTACAAAGTGACACCACTTCAGCCGACATACCTTCGCCTGAGGTCCTCAGCAATGGTTGCTCTGCAGCTGAACAGGTAGGCCCTCAGTGACTGCAGCTGCTGCCGGAGGCGCAGAACTGTGCTCAAAGCTTCACAGTGTTCATACAGGCAGGGGTTGAGCTGCTGGATATCCAGCAGTGGCTCCTCATACACAAACTCCAGAAACTCCTTGGCCTGTTTAGACACCTGGAGGAGAACACGTAGGAGTTTATATTTAGAACCACTGATAGATCAGAGATAATCCCCAACAAGCTGTTCTCTCCATGCTTGTAATGGATGGAGTGGCCTTTAAAAGCCTAACAAAAGCCCCGGCCTTTGTACAGATTAGGCATGATCTAACATGTTCATTTGAAAGTTTTAGACGTGCTTTCTGATTTTTTTTTTACTTCTGGATGAAACCAAGCTGACTGTTCCCCACTGATCAAAGATTATGTCTCCTGGATTTAACTTCACATTTAGTATGGCAGGCCATTTTAACATAAAACTGGCTTTGTCTGACTATTTGTAATTATATAACTAAAAAATAATCTAAATATAAAAAAATATTTACCTATCTAAAATGCGTTTTAACTAGGGACAATTATATTTTGACAATCCTGAATGGTAGTTTAAGATATCTGTATTTACATTCTGACTAGTCAGAAGAACAGTTCATTTCCTGTGGCAGCTCTACTCTCAGCATCAGTCCGCCTGTTCATCTCCCGCTCCATTCTTCCCTCATTCCAGTTGATTTTTTAAATCCCATTTAAGAAATTTATTAGTCATTTACAAACTGATTTTAAAAGCACTACACCATTTCCATAGTTTTCATTTTTAAGTATTGACTTTAAGTATTTACTTTAAGTATTTACTTAAATGTTTGTTGGCTGTGGACATGAAAGCGCCCACTGCGAAGCAGGAGGAAAGGAGAGCTAAAAAAGTTCAAAACTTATTTCTAGCGGCAGAACAGGTTGGAAGATGGCTGTTTGATGTTTTTGTTTTTAAAATCATCCTACAGGCTCTGACATGTTAGATAAATTTGAAAATGAGGTTTTGAAAAAATCCRTAAGACTTGAAAAAATCTGTGAGATTGCCCTATACGTGCGTATACCTGCAAAATGACGTAAAATCCTTATAACTTATGGACAATCCATACAAGTTGACATGTATGTACCCCATGCTCACAGAGTACCCCCCAAAGGACTGCCCAAGGGACCTGGTTGAATGCCTTCTCCAAGTCCACAAAACACATGTAGACTGGTTGAGCAAACTCCCATGCACCCTCCAGGACCCTGCTGAAAGTGCAGACCTGGTTCAGTGTTCCACAACCAGGACAAAAACCGCACTGCTCTTCCTGAATGCAAGATTCAACTATCCGATGGGCCCTCCTCTCCAGGACCCCGGAATCGACCTTATAAGGGAGGCTTAGAAGTGTGATCTCCCTATAGTTAGACCTCAGGAGGAAATCACCCCCACAGCACCGGTGAACATCCAGGGAAAAGACATTGAGACAGTGGACTCTTACAAGTACCTGGGTGTTCACCTCAACAACAAGCTGTACTGGACTACGAACACAGACATCCTGTATAAGAAAGGATAGAGCTGACTCCACCTACTGAGGAGGCTGAGGTCCCTTGGTGTCTGCAGGACTCTGTTAAAAACATTCTACGACACGGTGGTAGAATCTACTCTTTTCTATGGAGTGGTCTGCTGGGGGGCTGGATGTACTGAAAGAGACAGGAATAGGATCGGCAAACTGGTACGAGGATTATATGGATTATAAGAAAGCATAAGAAGGAATATTTGTGACTTACTAAATAAAAATAAGGGTGATATGAAAGCAACATTGAGAGTAATAAGTGTTTTGAAAAATCAAAGTACAATCTGGTATTTCACAGTACTTTGTAAAAAATGACAAGGAAATCTAAAATCAAAGTTAAATAGTAAATGAATTAAATCAATACTATGTAAATGTTAGCCCAAGTCTTGCAGCTAAAATACCAAAAGCAGATAATGATGTGAGTCATACAGTAATGGGTTGCGCCAACAGATTTTTTTCTTGATGGAACYGATAAGGAAGAAATACTGAGTAATGTAAAAGGTGTTGCAGACAAAAGATCAAAAGATTGGGTGGACATGGATATGATATTTGTGAAGGATATAACTAGTTATGTTATTGAGCCATTTACATATACACTCACCGGCCACTTTATTAGGTACACCTGTCCAACTGCTCGTTAACACTTAATTTCTAATCAGCCAATCACATGGCG